CAAATTGCTTTCAGTTGAAAATGCAGTTATACTGTTATAATAGGCACATGCATGATGGTTTCTTGTTCTATGGTAATTATTAACATTCCTTCTAGTTTAAACCAACATTTCATAAATTGCATATTTACCAAATCTTTACACTTAATCTGGTAATAATGTTTCTCAGGAGATGCCGCACAATTCAAAGGCTGTAAAATAACACCACAAACACAGTTGGAACACTTTTTATTCAACATAATGTTTTAGACGATTGTCCTAATACAATTTAGGAATTTATATTAGCATTTTATTGAAAATAAATGTCACTATTATATGATTGCTCACTGAGACGAGCTGGTTCAGTTTGTGTTCACCACTTGTCCTTTTTTCTTTTTTCTGATTTGTAATGCTTAAATTTAAACATTAGTTTGCAACTTTGCTTCACTTACTATCCCGGTTTTGTTTGTGTTAGCATTATGTTGCAGTTTCCATCTATTTATGCTTAGGTTAAAGCCAAGGGCGTAGGTTTGATTTCAACTTTGGTGGGACACTGTTGATCTGATGTCATTGTTCTTATGCAAAAATATGCATGCTCGTTTTTTTATGCTTGATGGGAAAATCAGGGTGTATTTCGTTTAAAGAGAAAAGCAGCATTTCTTGCTACATTTATACAAATTTTATAAGCACTACACACACTAGATGCTGTTTAACAATGACTGAAGCTTAACTGGCTCTGATGAATGACGATTTATGACTTTCACTTTGAAAAGGTTTGCATTTGAAATTAGCAGCGACTAAGACAGTAGCTAAATCTGTGCCTATTTAACAGAATATAGTCTAAATATGTCTGTTATATGTGGATTTATACTTTTTTATTTTGAAGTTATAGAATTGTGCAGAGGTAAATAGAGGTAAAACCCACTCGTTTAAATGTTCTCTTTGTATCATGAAAGAAAACGAAATAATAAATTTAAGGGACGCTAAATAAATGCATTGTATTTACATGTGCACTGGAACAAAAAGATGAACTGACACAGAGCATTTAATATATTAACTTCTCTCTACAAGTGTCAGGGTTTGTTTGGAGGTTTTTGTGAGGACCCAATTGCAGAGGCTGAGAGGCAGGGGTGAGTTCTTTGATGATTTAATGGGATAACACAGGTAGCAAAACCAGGTATCCAAAAATCAAACATAAAAAATAAACACTAACCAGAACCATGGAGACATCTGGGGGAAACTATCACAAGGAGCCAGGGGGAGACAAAGTAAGACGAGAAACAAGCAATGAGGAACTGCAAAAGGAGTGTATTTATGGGAGACTGAAACAGAGAGAGGACTAACGAGCAGATTGGGAGCAGGTGTGAGCAGAGCAGAACACGAAAGGAACTATGGAAAAGGAGAACACAAGAACACAAAACCTAAGAAACTTAAATAAATCCAGAACACATCAATAAAGCTAAAAAACAAAGAAAAACATGGATAAACATGAAACTGAAAACTTGGAGAAAACCAACAGAACCAAGATCGTTACAACAAGTTGTACATCTAGAATGTAGTTACTCTATTTAACCCATTTCATGTATTTTATTTAGGGCTGAAACAATTAATTGGATTAATCAATTATTGAAATAATGTCAACAAATTTAGTAATCAATTAATCGTTAACTGGAGTGTAGAGACTCTAAAACATGTCTAGCTCACAGAGCGACCCACTTAGAGCAGAAATTATACCAAAATTGTAAAAAAATAAATACACATTTTGAATTTTAGATAAAACATGTTTTCGTCTGTCAATATTCTCCATCCAGAACTCCTCTGCTGCAACAAAGCTGTATTGCAAATTATGATCATGTTATTCACATGTAATTGTTGATAGGGACAAGTAGGTTGGTTCAAAATGTTGGTAGGGACCTGTCCCTATGGTCCCCATGCAAACCCATGCTCATGGTTAAAGCTATTACTTCTGGATTATTGGTTGAAATTGTTTATTTTGTTTCAAAGTATATTCATGTTAATGCTTTTCCTTTTTATTCACCATTTGTCCAAGTATTTCCTGCTAAATTGGCTAGGTGATGTCATCAATTACCTTGCTGGGTTCTACCAATGAGAGGGTTTCCTTTGGAGTAATGCTTTGTTTGTTTTTCTTTAAAGTAACTTTTTGAGTTATCTTGTATCACATTGTTTATTTTGCAGACTCTTTTATTATGTAGATGAGTTTGTAAATTAGATTAATAATTTTATTCTTGTTTCTCTGTTTAGACTTTGTTTTTGGTTTTTTTACCTGTTTAATCGTGGCTTGGTGTGTTGCCACTTGTTTATATAAGCACTGAGCTCTTGGAAGCTTGGAAAGGGTTGTCAGAGTGAAAATACTGAATAAAAGAAAACAGAGAAATCTGGAACTGGTGGCTGAAGCGTTTTTTTGTTCACCTTACTGATCCTCAACCAAACTACTTCACACTCACCACAAAGGAAGCAGCTTCTCAATTGCTGGAAGCCATGATTTTTTCTAACTAAGCTGATGAAATTATGCAAGATAGCCTGAAGCCATCTGATTTACATGCTATACTAGACAAGACCACAAGCAAAACCTGACACCAGGTACAAGAAGTAGACGGAAAATCTGTTAAAGAGCAGCCGAAGTACAAAGAAAATAGGGTATTTGTTGGTAATTTAATTAAAGAGGTTTCTGTTTGCAAAGCTGGAGTGAGCAGAAGTATAATCAATTATTATTTAAAGTAGTCTACAACTAGAGGTGGTTTATATTCCATGTTTGCTCCTCTTCGCTACTGGTGCTGCCATCTATTTGGGCTGATGGAGATCACAGATTTTGAGATTTCCAAATCCTAAACATTATGTAAAATGTGCTATTTTATATATTTCCTTATATTCACAGTAATATACAGTAAGGAAAAATAAGTATTTGAAATTCCTGCTATTTTCCAAATTCTCTCTCTTAGAAATCATGGAGGAGTCTGAAATTGTCATAGTAGTGGCATGTCCACTGTGAGAGACGTAATCTAAAAAAATCCAGGGATCAAAATGTATGATTATTTTAACTATTTATTTGTATGATACAGCTGCAAATATGTATTTGAACATCTGTCTATCAGCAAGAATTCTGACCCTCAAAGACCTGTTAGTCTGCCTTTAAAATGTCCACCTCCACTCCATCTATTATACTAAATTAGATGCACATGTTTGAGGTCGTTAGCTGCATAAAGACACCTGTCCACCCCATATAATCAGTAAAAATCCAATTCCTAACATGGCCAAGACCAAACAGCTGTCCAAAGACACTAGAGACAAAACTGTACACCTCCTTCCCTCAGTTAGAGCATTTAAGATGAGGCTTTGTCTTCCAACATGACAATGACCTGAAGCACACAGCCAGGATAACCAAGGAGTGGCTCTGGTAGAAGCATATGAAGGTACTGGTGTGGCCAAGCCAGTCTCCAGACCTAAACCCAATAGAAAACCTTTGGAGGAGCTCAAACTCACTGTAATTCTATAGTTTCCCTTTTCCAGCAAGACAGCTGTTTACAGTTTCATAATCAAGGCCTCAGGTTTCTTTTTTCTCTGAGGAAGAAATAAATGTGTCTTTGTAGTTTGCTGCTTTATCTTTACTCTGATAGAAGTACAATATCAAAGCCAGAACAATATAAGTGAGGCTCATGTTTAACTTTGTTTTGACCCAAATTGAAAATACATGCAGTCAGAAAGTCAGGGACACTAAATATTTATGGAGTCCAAAATCAACAATGTAGACATTTTTAGTTTTGTTTTCCTAAAAAACGTGGAAAACCCTGCATGTTTAAACAGTTTGTTCACCGATTCATCATGGCAACTGTAATGTTTGACAGAGAGAATACTTTTAGACCAGAGGTCGATCAAAGAGGCCCGAGACGTCTGTGACATGCGTCTCCTCTTTTGTTTGGGTCGGATAAAAGTGGAGCCTTTTTTTTAAATGGAAGCGTTGAACTGCCTGGGGGGGGGGGTTATCTGACTTGTGTTTCTGCTTTGCTGCCTTGCAGCTGCTCAACTCTGAGAAGAAGGAGAGCCATAGTCCGGCAGCTTGGCAGAGAGCCCAGTCCAACTCAGGAAGTGCCCATGTGTGTATGGAGCTCACTCCCCCTGTTCTTCCTCCTCCTCTTCTCTATTCAGCTCCTTACCTCAAAGCATTAGTAATGCATTCCTCTAGTTCAGCAACAAGCAGGGTAATTCAATTTCCTTGACAGTGCGGCTGTGTGAAATTTCATTTGCATCTTCAGCTCTCTTTGTCTTTCCAAAAGCTATAAAAACCTCTGTATTATACTTTGATCTGTCGTTAATCCACATTATTTTTCTTCAGTGTTTGATACTTTAGGTACCTGAGAGGACCTTAAAAGGCACATTTGTTCTTATTGTTTTTTGTAATATTTAAGCAGTTTCTTTGTCATATCCATTTTTCTTAGGGCTTTTAGTTGAGCATAGTTGTGGCCCAAAAAAAAAAAAAAAACACATTTCCATCCTCAAACTTGTTTTTTTTTTTTTTTGGAGAACAGCAGCTGGTTGAGGCCACAGAGGAAGCGACAAAACCAGACTGTTGGCCGGGTGTTGACACTGACCTCCTGCCTCCTGTTAATTAGACAAATTCATGCAAACGCCTCTGCCTTCATCTGATATCCACTGCACATACCTACAGTGATTTTTATATATATATATATATATATATATATACTGTTGCATTATTGAAATCCAAATTAAATGCTTCACAAAATGCAGTTACTCTTTGTTTTTCATCAAAAAGGATTAGAGGAAACCAAATAAAAAAATCCTCAATGACCCTGTATACATTTTTGGCTTTGATAGTAAATTCACATATATAATGGAAAATGGTCCTTTTCATTCTTAAGGATTTGAAAGCTGTAAATTTTTTTTTAAATTGGTCTATTGTAAATTAGGATATTAGCTGTGAGGTTTGCTGCCACCTAGTGTTTGTTCCGAGTAATTTTTTGCTCAAATGATTCACACCATTTGCCTCTGCAATTCAAAGTTCCTTTAATTTCAAAACACAGCATTCAAGCTTCAACATGGCCACAGCTTTTACATGTACACGTTACAAAATTATGTATAAAAAAACAGATCTACAGTGATTGTAGTACATAAAAGAAAGAGGGACAGTCTAGTAATATTTACAGAAAGTTATGTTTTCACTTAAAAGACACAATAAATGCCTTAACTTTTCAGACAATTTTTTTTTAAAGGAAAGATTCAAAAAAATTTCAGAGTTTTAAATGTTCTTTATCTGTACATTACAAAAGGTCAAAACTACAACTCCAAAAAAAGATCAGAAAGTCCAGACTGCATCAGTGAATTATCAAACAAAGCATAAATTGTTTTAAAAAAAGAAGAAAAAAATAATAAATTGGCTCATTTTCTTGTTTCTTAGCCACCCAGGAGCTGTCGGTGGATTTTAAGATGTGTAAAAGGTTTGTGCTTAACTTGTTGGCACAGTCTCACCATCACTTCTTACACTGATCACATATTCAGAAGCAAGCAGAAGCAGCACAAACATCTCATCCACGGCAAAACGCTCACCATGCTGTAATGGAGGAATTTCCTAAAAGAGTGTTTTGTTTGTTTTTTAAATACAGTAAGTAGAAGTTAAACCAATCATTTCACAGCAGCCACCACCTTCTCTTAGCTCTATTTAAATGCTAAAACACATTTGAGGCACTGCATTGCAAATGCATTCAATTTCTCCAGACATTTCTTAAGAAAAAGACATTTTTTTATTCAACTTAAAACTCCCACTGGGGTGATCTCCACTGCTTTTTTATGAGTGAAACATCTGGAGTTCTTTTAATAAAGAACCACATTACAAGTAGTTCAGAAGACACAGGGAACTTAAAACTTTAAAGCGTCTGCGCACTCGTCTTTTTCACAGTTATTTGCCTAGAAAAAGTAAACTTTCAACGTGTTAATTTTATTCAACCAAATTAAACCATTTGCCAGGTCTAGAATTTCACAGGTGAACAAAAACTGCTGTGGAAGTTGGGCTCATTGCAATATTTAAGAAAAAGGCTAAATAAAATAAGTTTAAAAAAAATAAGTGGAAAAAAAGACTGGTTAAACATGCAACACCACAGAAAAACTGGTCCCAGACAACAGATTTAAGACAGAGTGCCATTATATAAGCCAAGTGTGTTAGTGTGCGGTGGAAATCCCACAGGTACAGTACGAGTCAAACCAGAAAAGAGCTGAGTCCTAACAAGCTAACCTCACTATTGAAGCAGGTGAATCGAAGCTGAATGAGTGAAAGATCTTATCTACAGATGCCGGCATTTCCTCCAGAGTAAAGACAAGATAATGTTACAGTACTTAAGAGACCATGTTCGATGTCAACTATGTCCTCATTAGTTCAAACCGTCCATTGCATCAGTCCCAGCGCCTTTAGCGATCCACGCAAAGCTAAACAAAGGAGTGTGGAAGTTGGATTAGTAGTGTCTGTGCTTCTGATTCATGTCCTCTGGTTCCGCTTCAGCTGAGATGGGAAAAACATTTGGTTGAAATAAAGAAGAAAGGGGGTCAGATGAGGAGAGAATGGATGGAGGAGAAGCTTCAGAGATGTTCGGTGGAAACCGGAGGGGTTCAACGTGCTGGAGGGTTGTTGGGATCGGGTCGACTGTTGGCCAGGTACTTGGCTCGCATGCTGGAGGTGTACTGTAAAGAGAAACGGGACAGAAAAGTTTGTAAACTTAAAGCTTTATGATTACTGCGTTTGACACCAAAACGGTAAAATGAAACTCCGTTTGGTTACAAAAAAAAAGTTGGATTTTCTCATTCAACAGCAATCAAAGACACTACTTTTATACGTTTTGAGGCTCCAATGAATGAACAAATAAATCCATTCATTTTCATTGGAAAGATAAAGAATGAAAAATACACACGAATACGAGGAGGTCAGAGAAAATCCTACACGGATCATCTTTAAGAAAGAGCTAAAGTCTACAGGGACATCAAATTTAAAACAGACAGTATGAAATAACCCTGCTGTAGTTTTAATTGTCCTTCCTGTTGTGTGCAGAGCCTGAAGTGTGTGTAAAGTTGGAATGGGTCCATGCATGACAGGGCTGCATTGCACTCCTTTGGGACGGCCATTTTAGATGCATTTTGATTTTCTTTTGTGGTGCTTTTTATTCCATTACCATTTTTAGATTCATCTGAATGATATCAAACACCAGAACCAGTTATTTTGAGAAAAAATGTTATCATGAATATTGACCGAATACATTGTTAATGTATTACCTAGTATAGGATGAGAACAGGACAAGCTTTATGCTTTGAACACAAAGTTAAATGAATGCATGTCTATTGACATTTGAACAGATTTTTAATAAATCTTTTATTGCCGCAGCATAAAGTAACGAACGCAGAAAAACCAAACCTTCAACCAGTCAATCAATTTGATTCTAATTAGAAAATTAAGTTGGATTCTACCATTTCTGCATCGCTCTCTATCACACTCAGCAGTCTGCCAACAAACCGAGTCTCTGTAAATCACAGCTCTTCATATTTACTGGATACAACATTTTCATTAGTGTTGTTGATAAATTTATGAATAAATAATTAATTTTCTCTCCAAACAACAACGTTACATAGGTTATTCACATTAAAATGTGATTAAAAATAATAATTTGGACCCTTTTTTTACTTCGCTAAATAAAGACGCATTGAACGGATTGGATCGGATGGATCCAGATATCGGGGATCGGTTTTCAAAGTGACTATTATGATCGGATAGCAGAGATCAAGGCCACTCTAGATAAAACTGTTATTTCTCTCTTTTTGGTGCTTTTTTGTTATTAAATAACAAAGTAAAATTATATGTAATTTGTTACCTTTTTTAACCATGTTTATGTAAAGCTAAAGCCTTTCCCTTACATAGTGAGATATATGGTTCGTTCCTTCAGCAGTTGAATCAGATTGGGATCAGATATCGGGTGATATGATCAGCCCAGGTATCGGTATTGGGCTGGATAAAACTGGTTGGGTGCATCTCTATCACTAACCCTTGTGATAAATAGAACTTTGCAAAGCCTCATTAAAACTGAGGACCAAAAGTGTCACAATTAGAGGAAAAAAATAGGTAAATACATAATTTAAAGTAAATTAAACAAAAGGTAAAATACAACTACTTATGATGTAAACAATAAATGATTGAATATATATATATATATATATTCAATAAGTTAGATCAATGATAATGATTTTTGTGGAACACATGAATTAAAATTTTCCATAACTGAAAAACATACATCAATATTCCTTTATTTCTTTGAAATTATTTTTGCATTTCTGGTCTGCAACATAGCTCTGATTAACCCTTGAAGTCAATCAGCAGGGTGCAATTAGACTGGATTTTAAAATATTGAGGCTTAATTAAGAATCTATAGAGATGGGTGAAATTATTTTATGACAGTTTGCTGCACTAAAACCACAAAATAATTTAAATGCTTAAATTCTATAAAATGTAAAGAATTCAAAATGTAAGCAGCCATTTTTGTATGATTTTTTTTAAATTATCATAATTATTGTTTTGATTTGATTTCTTATTGATGACAAAAACAGATACTGATATGAACAGCTTATAAGGTTCTTCACTAAACTAAGGTAAAAACAAAGAAAATCCAAGCCAACAATATAATATTAACGGATTTATAATTTGATGCGTCTGATTCATGAGTTACAGAGACTCAGGGAAGAGCTACAGCCTCACATGGTCATGTTGGTTGAAGGGGGAGGAAAACATGCAGCCCAGGCTGACAGGATACAGACATCAGATCAGACAGTAGGGCAGAGGGTGCAGTACATGGAGGAGGAGTTTCTCTGCACCCCCCCACCACTGGGAGGCTATAGGGAGGGGAGGGATTAGCAAAGCCAGGACTTTAGGAGGTTATACAGAGGGGGAACAAGCCAGCAGGTTCGGGGAGGCGGTCATGTTTAGTACCTGTTAGTAATGCAGATGAAGTTACCAAAATGATCTTGAACTCTCCGAGGGCTTTAACTGCCAGCAGTGACCGCTGTTACTGTCCGCGGCAGTCAAATACAACTGTATGGGTTCGCAGAGAAAGAACGACAAGAAGAGAGTACAGAGAAGATGCACAAAGCAGTGTGGAGGTCCAAGCAGACGGACAGACAGGAGGGAGAGCAGGATTACTAGTGGAGGATCGGGACTTTGTCAGGGCGAAATAATCCACGTTGGATGTTAATATCAACTCTGAGGCTTTAAAAGCTCTTTACTTGGAGGGAGGAGAAGTGATCCTAACTCCGGACTGAATCATCAGGCCTTAGATGTTTGTTTGATGGAGTTCAATCAGACAAACAGCATGGCTGGTGTTAGATTGATGAAAGTGATTCCAAAGGGACGGATGGGTAAAACACACACACCTGCATAAAGTTTACTACACAGTCGCTGCTACTTAACAAAAATATTGAGAGGGAATTATATTATCCAAAAGTTGGCGAACAGTTTTACACTTTGTAATTTGGTATTTTTAAAGGATTAGAAAAAAGTAACAACTTACAGAAGGAGGAGGAGACTCGCGTCCAATCAGAGGCGTGTTTTCACAGCGAGAATTCTGGAAGTTGGCGTTCTGAGCCCTATTTATAAAAACACAGACATTAAACANGAGAGCTAGTCTCTAAAACAGACATGGCTATGGCTTGATGCTAACATGTTTGTTAGCTGTCAGAATTCTGAGAATAAAGTCAGAATTCTGACTTTCTTCCCATATTGAACTGAAATAAAATGTAAAAATTAGTTAACTTTTTTTTTTCAGTGGCCCTAATCCTCTTCCGTAAGGGCATGCTTCCATACAGGAAAGTAAATGGAAAAAAAAAACCCATATGTGGGTCTCGGTTTATGGTCTATAGTCTCTGCTCACCATGTGCAGGCTGCGGCAGTCCACCAGTGCTGTGAGCTGATGAAGGCTGATCTCTGTGGTGTTTAGAATCCCCTGAATCTCCTCCAGACTTTCCTGGAGAGAAGTGAAGGAAAACACAGCTGAACAGCTGAAAGACCAACAAGAGGAGAAATGCTCAGAGACAAGAAAAAAAATCTGAGTAATTCTGTTCGAGCTCACTTAAAGTTCAAACACTGAGGATAAGGAGCAGCGAAGCAGCAATTCTCAATTGGAAGTGATTCATTTATTGATTATTTATTCAAAAATAAACTGATCAGGAACCAGCCTTTAATTAATATACAGCAAAGAACAGGGAAGCAGATTTTAACTTGTAATCATTTTGACAGGCAGCCTCCAATTTTCCACCAGTCAACATTTTATCTTTAACTAAAAATACATCAGTTATATAATATAGTACAACTGCAGCTTAAGACTGTGTCTATATGTGAAGGAGAGAAACATGCCTTCCTCTTTTCCTGATCTCTGTTCTCCTGTATGCCTCCATCATGTCCTAAAAACCCCTGATGGAGGATAGCACTGTTGACCAGAGAAAGCCTTAACAGAATGCAGCTTCCAGGTGGTCCGTCAGCTAATCTTTTTGTTAAACAGGTGCAGTTCGCTCCAGTTCACTGAGATATTCAGCAGTTTCAGCCTTTCATACCTTTGTCTGTTTGTATTCTCTGGTGGCAGAGCGAAGCAGCTCTGACACATCGTCTTGCATCTCTACTAATGCTTTATGGCTTCCAGAAAGCCTCTAAAAAAAGAAGGAAAAAAAAAGGAAAAAATTATTAACAGTGCAGTTAAATGTTTTATCAGTGCTTAAAATGATCACATGGAACCTGTAGCTGTTTTTTGTTTTGGTTATAAAAAAGATTTTATAGATAAAAGCTGAAAGGCATCTATACTCTATATATGAACACTCAGTGGTACCAACAATAGAGGGCCTTCACATAAGCACTCAAGGTTTTCATTTATTAATGTTTACTGAAAATATAAAAGGTAGAGCCAACAGAGATATTCTAAAGACACGTGGCAAAGTCTTCAGTCACCTCTTTGTTTTATAGTTCCTTTAAAAAAATCAAACTTCTTGAATGTTTTTTTAGTTACATATAAGATAATTTTTCATGCTTCAAGAAAGACAATTGTTCCTAATCTTTTGTCTGTAAAAAAACAAAACAATGAAAACAATTTTAGTAAAAACAGCTTGACGGGAAAGTCTCCTCTACCACCTTCTCTTCTCATTTGTAAACAGCCATCAGGTTTAGCTCGACTGCCAGCGGCTGGCCTCACGGCTGGCGAGGCACGCCATGGAAACTCTACATCAAGCTCTCCGAGGCTTTTATGTTAAATTTATATTCTGAAGAGTGTATGTAGTGATTTTGAGATTTTGGGTTTGATTCCAGGTTGACCTCCTTCACATGTGGATGCTGCCCTGAACAAGACATTTCAACCTACAGATCTGAGTATCAGATTACAATCCAACACTGAATGAAGACCAATAAAATGTTCCAATAAATCATGCTTGTTATTTTTCTTTTGGATCTTATAAACTATAACTAAAGAAAAATGGTATAAATTAATCAAAGTTTGTTGAAGATCTTTACCGATTGTACCTGTGTGCAAATGATCAAATGTCTAATGAATGTAATTTGCATAAACTCAATGCCAACAGGTGACTCATGCTGCTGTGCATCAGTTTAACTCCCTGAGAAAAGGAGAATATTGCACAGCAGCGAGGGAAAGGAGGAATCGCCGTTTTGGAGCAATCAAAGAGAGCCTGTTAGATTTTATCCATTAGATTTAAGCTGTAAACACTTGGAGTGAATATTTCAGAAAAAAGAAGGTTATATATGTAAAATGCAATTCCAACAAACCTGCTGGAAGGGGTTGGTTTGCTCCGAACCGCAACTAAGGTAGTACTGGAGGATGTCTGAGAGCCGACGAGGAGGAAGAGAGACAAAAAGGCAAAAACAGATCAGGAAAGAACAGATTTACCCTAAAAAATAAGCAAACCATCATCAGTTCACTTCCTAATTATTGGTCACTGGATTAAAATATGTTGTATTTATTTCAATAAATGCATTCCCACTTCCATTGGATTTCCATATGTTGGTTGAGGGCTGAACATTTACCTTGGGACGTATCTGAAAGGTTAATATTTTTTCACCAGAGAAAAGAGCTCAGTTCCGATTTGCGTCTCTAGTTTTCCCGACAGACAGACAGCCTCTTCCATTGTGTTCTATCTAGTTGTGCATCTTTAATTCCTTCTGACATGTTGCAGCTTGCAGAACATAACGATGACTCAAGCAATCCTACACTCTGAGGAATCGTCCAAACGATTAATAAACCTGCAGAACCTAAAATAAACCCTGAAAACTTTGAAACCAATATAGAGCACGAACACAGAAAGGGAGGGGGGTGGGGGGGCAGGTGTAATCATTCTAACTGCAAACAACCCCCAAAACCTCTTACATCATCCATGTTCTTATTGCTGTGTTACAAGACTGAGCCTGGGTTCTGCTTTGAGCGCAAATTAAACCAAAGAGGATTATAATTATTCGAGGTTAAGACTTTCACTTGTGATCAGCGCCTATTTCCTTGATGAGAAACCCTTTCTGTACGACTCAGAGGTTCTGCAGCAAAGCCGTGTGCGCGGATCCAAGCTGTGAGTACAGCACCGCCACCGGACTGACACACAGCGTTAGTGACATTTAAACTCACTGCTGAGTCAGCAGATTTGTTCTCCGTCTCTTTCAACACCAGTGGAGCGTTCCGAAACAGGAAAGAACAAAACAGGCGCATGTCTCTGGAGGTCCAGCTCACAAGCATTACTATTTGGAAGAGTTTAGTTCCCCACTGTATTGAAAGATGAGATATTCTCTACTACAAGAGTTTTAGCTTGGAAACGGCTCTGCTGATGATGAAACAAGCGGTTTGCAGCACATTAACACATCTATAATGGAGCATAGAGCAATCTAGTGAAAAGAATAAATGGCTCCAATGCAAAGGAATGCACAATGCCAAGGCTTACAAAATAAAGTTAGTCTTTTTACAGAGTTAATACAGGAATGAGTAATTCTAATTTAATGCTTTCTAATGCTCTTAGAAATTATTTGAATGCCTGTAACAAGTACCCATGACTCTCATATATATATATATATATATATATATATATATATATATATTTTTTTATTAATTCCCACAATATTACATCACCAAACATCAGGTGTGTGAACTTCTGAGAGCCACCTTATATTTGCTGATGTGAGTTTTAAAGTACATAGACCAAACTTTGCTGCCATCCAGCCAGAAAGTGATGAACCCCTCCCCCAGTTTCATTAGCACAGAGCTTCACAGAGCTTTGGGTTTCACAACCAACACAGCTGGAGAGAAACAGCTGCATCTGTAGACTTTGGGAGAGAAAGATTCTCTCCAGGGTCCTATAAACTTCTTCTCGACAACAGGAATTAGAAAAAACCCAAAACCTTAAGGAGCGGAGTCGAGAACATGACATGCATACATATTTTCTACCACTTCTGCTTTCACTCGGTCTCTTCTTGTGAAGTAAACATCTTACATGTATTCTGTGACGGGCGCGTTGCTGACAGTGTGGGCCGTGGCAGGAATGGACGTCTCGCTCCCATAGCTGCTGCCACAGCTGTACAGGCTGGGCATGTGGACCCGGTACAGGCCGTCAGGGTTCTGCCTCCCCCCGGGGCTCAGAGACTCATCTTCACTGTCGTCGTCGTTCCTGCACATAAAAGTTTTTTAAAACAACCACCAGGAGGCGCCTCTGATCTACCTCAATGATAATGAGCATAAACTTGCCACACTGTCACATTGTTCCTTTCATTTTCTATGATTTTTATCCTTTTTAGGCTGAAGAAAACAACAAATCGTCTAGTTTAATCAATTAAGACACAAGATTGTGGGAAAAAAAAACAAGGACATTTATTCATTTTCAACTGAAAATAAAAAAAAACACTTTGTAGCAGCAAACATTTTACATGAAGAAAGGATTTCTTCAACAAACAAACAAATAGCTAATTTGAGCAAATGAAGCATCCAAACGTTTACCAAAATAACAACATGGTGAATGTCTCCCTCTAGAGGTCATGCCCACTTCCGTTTAATTCCCACCTTACCTCAGTTATGACCTCATAGAATCAGTTTGTACGCTCTCCTCTGAAATTGTTCCCACATGCATGTGGGCAAGAGATACCCAACAGCATATCTATGTCTAAAAAGCTTCACAACTGTTTTTCTTGCTTGCAGAGAGTAAATCCTGGTCATAACTCTCTACTATTCCAGATGGGGGGAAATAATTAGCTGGCATGTGTCATTATGACTGCACTGCCGAACAAGCTTAGCAGGGAACACTGGAAACAACAGTCTGGTAAAGAGAAATAATTTGCTTCTTGTCAGGAAACACCAGCTGAGATAAATCTGATAAACATGCCCACCCCCTCTACAATACATGATAAAGAGCAATAAGCTAATTATGTGGGGAAGCTAAAACTACTTTCCAAGTAGCAACTCTGGAGTCATTATCCTGCTGCTGACATTAGAAAGAAATGAGAATGATGTTAAAAGTTCTGCTTCTGAAAATAGTTTGGATCTGTTGGTAACTGATAGATTTTGGGCAACGTGTCCCAATTAGGCGGGGTAAGCCAGCTGTGAGAGCAGATGGAACCTCCTGGGCTTGATGGATTTTTGTTCTCAGATCATTTTGAGTACAGTAAAAAATGTTTCCTTTAAAAACATAAATAGTTAAAAGGTTTGAATTATGCATCACCCTATATACCGTTCAGAACATAAACTTGGCATGAAAGCTTTTGCACGGCTACATTCGTGGAGCTATTGCTCTTCACGAAGATGGAGGACATCTTACCGTTTCCCTCTCCAGGTGTGAGGCACGCTGCAGACGATGGAGGTGAACATGAGGGCCGTCACGAAGGAGAAGAACAGGAGGTAGATGAGGCCTTCCAGACCATCATAGCACAGTCCAGTCATGCCCTGAACGTAATCCTGTGAAACAAATGTAGCCTTCGTTCAAAAACNATAATAAAAATTTAATGACTGTTAATGACCAATGAAAACAGTGTTTTAAGACAGTAAAATATTAACCCCAGCTCTGACTTAGAATGAGCTGGACTTTTGGTAAATTTTCAGCTCACAGATGGGTCACAACAAAAACATCTTGGCTGTGTCCAAACGTCGGCCCTGACCACCATATAGTGGTTACGCCATTTTAGATGAGTTTCTGAACGTCTAGTGGATGCAAAAGCAAACTCAAAATTTCCATGCACCTTGAAAAGTAGTGATCATCCACGGTCAATAGACGAGAAGATATATCCCAGCATGCTTTGCGAGGAGAGTCCTACTCGTGAAGCATCAGGGGATTTGTTGTCACAGCGTCCCGCTGTCAGCTATGGCTGTCGCTACCTGACAGTGGCGGCAAATAAAGATGGCACAGACACCATGCTGAGAGGTGGAATTGTGACTATAGGGGAGCAAAATGTAGTGATCATCTGTCCGAATGGGAACTGAGTTTACTATAAAGTCCACTCTATAGTTCCGGCTCTATACAGTGATTGTGGGATCAAGGGGTGAGGGCGGACGTTCGGACACAGCCAAAATGTTTTTGTTGTGACCCATCTTTGAGCTGAAAAATTACCAAGAGTCCAGCTGATGCTAAGTCAGAGCTGGGGGCAATATCCTGAGCTATCGCTATAATTATGCTGCTATAGGTTTAGACTTCTGGAGGACATAGGGACCCCCATTTCATCATTCTGCTTCATTCTCTCTCTATTCTCCCAATCTGCAGAATCTGTTAGTTCAATTTCTAACGTTCTGCTCTCTCTGCTTTTTCTCATAGTAGCTTTGCCTCATCTGTTCCTGTTTGGCTGTGACTCCATCCTGGAGAGAATTGTGACTGGCTGGATGTGCTCTCTTCCTCCTCTGACATGATAGTTGGCTCAGAGCTCGTCTGCCTGGCTGTGTGTTTCCTGGATGGGACCGCCTTTTACAGTTGCTTTTTGTATCTCTGTTTCTGTCTCCTTGAACCCCAGTCAGCATCAGCAGATGGCCGCGCACACTGAGCCTGGTTCTGCTGGAGGTTTCTTCCTGTTAAAAGGGGGTTTTTCCTCTCCACTGTCGCCACAAGCATGCTTAGTGTCAGGGATTGCATTTGAGTCAATGACTCAATGCAATCAACTGGTTTTCCTTGTATAGAAAACTTTGAATCAATTTGACTGTATGAAATAAACTGAAATGAATTGAATATACTGTCTTAAAACAATGTTTTTGTGGGTGTTTGCTGTGAATTAAACAAAATCTTGGCTTTACAAACCTCCACTAACTGGGCAATTTACTTGGTAATAATCACAGAAGAGACACTGTTAAAAATCTATATTTACATGGCATTCATTTTATTGATAATGGTTTATTAATACATCAATAAACATGCTTTACCATTCAATGGCTGCAGCTTCTTCTTTTTGTAATATAAAGAACTGTTGGGGGTCCTTTTGCTAAAATTCAAATTTCTCTCATAAAAAAAGGGAAACAAAAACAATGCAAACATTGCTTCTTTGTTTATAGATAACTTCTGCTCTTTGTTTTGCTTGTATTTCCAGCTACATTAGGCTGTGCTTTGATGATTGATGTGTTTTCCCCATCAGTTAAATATTGATATGTCTGTTAATAGGTAGGTAAAGAACATTTTTCTTCTTCTTTAACCAGATTTTATGAACAAAGTGGGAAAACTCATCTCCATTGTTAGTCTTTCCTAACCCGTACAGCTTGATTACACCATAATATAAGGGTGCCTACATGTTTCATGCCAAACTTGTCAAACAGGAGAAACTGTTAGTTTTTCCATCTGATTAGTTCTCAAATATTCATAAAGCAGTAACGCAAACCGTAACCACAACTGTAGTGACTTTTCATAAACGCACACAAGTTCAATGGTAGTGTTTCTAAACTGGAAGTGTTCGTTTGTGTGATTTACATCATATTTATCCATGTCGATGACAAGCAGCTCGGATCCAATGAAAAACCTGTTATATCGTCTCTCCCTACTGAAATACTGACTCTTGTGTCTGCCTTAGTTTATCAACACATATTACACTTTACTAGTGAATTTGTTTGCAAGGTATGCCATTTTATACATAAAGAACACTGGAAGGGTGCCCAAAACAGTTTATTAAACAGCTGTAGCAGCAGTAAGGCAAGCACTCCAGAACTAAAATGTTTAAATATATGTAGAAACTAGTCTAACACCGAAGCAAAGGAATCGTACTGCAGAGAAGTGTTTTTGATTAAAACTGACAAAGGCAATGGAAAAATATCCAAACGTTTAAAGAGTATAAAAGAAGAATGTAGAGAAAAATTCTGCACCACTTTGCTTACTGTTTTGTTTGGCTAAATTCATTCAAAACATTGGAAAATTCAAATATGCTGAAAGATCTAGTCAAGAAACTGCAATTGAACCTAGAAGAGATTTCTCTCTGATGACGAGTACAGTAAAAATGGCATTGAAATCAATCATGCTTTATTAACTGCATCACCCTTTAGGCAGTGAACTTTTTTTAAATCCAGATCAGTGAATACAGAGCATTTCTGTTTGCTTGCATTCAGCTGCTATTTTGTTTCAGGAGAGAGCAGGAAGAGGCTCATTTAGACGAGCCGATGCCGAGAAGTGACATTAAACAGGCTTCTCAATGGAAGCTGTAGTTTAAAGCAGCATTTCTGTCGCCAAGGGAAACATGCCGTCTTTGATCCTCTGCTTCCCTGCTCTTATCTCCTTCATACACAAACACAAGAAAGCCCCAGGCTGGTTTTGCTATCCTGTGACATGCGTCCTGTCATGAAACGGTTTGGGGAAATGGCTACGCTGCGATGTGTTAGAGAGGCCTTTGTGTTAATTTAGACGGCCCACTGCCCTACTGACCTTACTGCAGATGTGGCAGATATTTTTAGGAGCTTTTCTGTCTTACTGTCACACAACAATCACAGCATTGAGATGAGAGGAGATCAGAGGAATTCATAACTTAGCATTTAATGGGCCGCTTTACTCGCTTTAACATATGACTGCATCCTGTGTTTTTTGAAAGTAACAGGAAAGCATCCTACCTTTATCGATGACCCCATACTGATCCACCACTGTGGTAACATATGTATCAGGAGCAAAGCAGAAATCACTTGAGCTCTAAAAGAAAATAAGAAAAAGAGCTAAAATTAGCAAACAATCAACCTCAGTAACACTTATTGTAAGGAGGAATATAAACTGAATTAGCTGGAGAGGAGGAAAGAGAAAGAAAAAAAACAAAACTTTAAAACTAGGGAAATGAGGCAAACATCTGGACTCATGTGGATCTGCTCTGCATTTCAGCCATTAATATTTTCCACAAAGAATCTTACATCTACTCCTTCCAAAATTAAGCCTAGAGCGCTAATAACAGCTTGCATTGCAGCTCTTAATCACTGTTATTAAGTCTACAAGATTTCTGGAGAAAGCTAAGTGACCCAAAACATGAACACAGGTGTTCATAGCAACAAAACCCAAAACAAAAATATTTGCATAAAAAAACAACACAGCATTGGTGTAACATGCATTTATTCTGACTTTAAAAGCATATACTGTATATTACAGAGTTACCTAAAATATACGGGTTTAACATTAGACTCTAACGGAGCGCTAACAGAAAAAACAGTGTTAAACAGAGCAGATCCACCAGGTAAACAAGATCATACCCTGCAGACACTTACTGCAGAGACAGCTAATTCCAGCCCCAGGGAGATCCAGCTGATTATAAGAGCCACTACGCCGAACAAGCACACCCTGTGGGAAACAAGAGGAGGTCAGGAGTGTGCTTCACCAGCAGCATTAGACCATGAACTATGGTAATGAGAGGTACACTCACAAAAAGAGAGGCTTGACATAATAAAGTTGGTCTAATTACTGAACAGACTCAGGGCTATTCCAACATAAAAGCTGCAATTAAAAGATCATTCTAAAATGTTTTTTTACATGGACATTATTGAGGTAAATAACACAATTCTGTTGCATTTGTGGAAATATTAACTTAAAAATATTGCAAATCATTTTCAACCAATAAGATTTACTGCTAGATTTCGATTTAGATCCAAAATAATTAGTAGGGTTTCCTGTGTGTCAATAAGTTTCCTTTTTAGATTGAAAAAATTGGGGATTTTGATGTTTAGATATCAGCTGATTTCTGCCCTCTGTGCTTAATGGTGCAAATAAAAAAAAAGATGTCTGGATTTAAACTTGATGTAAAGAAAAAAAATAAAAAATTTACGTTAATTAATCCAGAATGTTAAATGGAATAATTGACTAAAATGACTGCTGAGCTAAGTAAGTTTTTCTATTTTAAAGGAAATCCTTGACAGTGAGGAATAATTTATCAGAAGGAGGCAGACAATTCCTCCTCCAACTAAGAGTTTTATGGCATCTTGTGAACGTGTTCAATCATGACGGGGAATGGCGATCAAGTGACGGCACTCACGCGATAAGGATTCCCTTTGAGTTGCGAATGAGGCCAAACAGGACGAGAAGGCAGATCAGGATGTCGAAGAGCAGCAGTGTGATGTAGCCCAGCCACCTGTGGAGAAATAAATAAAAACCACAAAACCCATTTTATTATTTTACTGCTGAGACAAACTTCAAATCATTGCAGCATAAAAAGCCAATTCTCAATAAGAATTATTTATGTTTTCAGTTAGAATTATACCAGTCTATAAAAAAAAAACATCATATGAATCTTTTTGGGGAATATTAAGACAGGAGCTAAATCAATTCACATAAAGGACCGGTCTCTTACCAATATGTGGCTTTTGAACGCATTAGGATAAATTCCTTAACTGGCATTTATACTCATGTTCGATGAGTCTGTAGGAGTAATCAGCTTTAACTGAATTAATTAGAGAGCCACACTTGGACAGGGAAGCTAATCTCCACAGTTTCTTTAGAAGCACATAGAGTTACTAACCTAATTATCTGGAGTTATTGATGTACCAAAAACCCTAAAGAAGTAAACATCTAAATGCCACACAGCTAGTAGATCCTATGGGTTTGGTTTAGGGAGCATAAACAACCCTCTTTCAGTTGTTAAAGCTAAAAGACGTATCCCCTCTGAGCACTAATACTAACTGCAATCATTCTCAGTTATCTAGATACACTTAAATTGTACTGCGGTTAAAATAGTGCCCCAGTGATAAGAGAGGAATGAGTTGACTTGTTTTAGGGCTAATACGTGTAAATGAAACAATCCCACACACAATCTGTTGGGGAAGAAAAGGGAATTGTTGAACTCTCAGCTGGAACTCTTACATAACCCACCTAAATCTTGCTATTTATAAAGAAACCCTTTATGCTTTATTAAAAACAATGTGTGGAGTAGCTTGCATACTTTTGGCATCATGTTTACGGGAGTCTGGCCAGATTTCCATTAGAGTCATTCTTTCTTAGAAACCCTTTAAGCTCAATGCAAACTTAATGCTGCCTAATGATGTGTTGAAGTCATTTCTTATGATCTGCGCTCCGCATAATGTCTTTTTTAGAGTACAGCCACTCGGCGCCGTATCACCAAAGCTCTCAACAACAGTGGAACAATGAGATGAGAATGAAATCTCTGCAGGGCTGGGCTTTAGAGTTTCATTGTGTCTGCACATGGAGTCCAATAATAAAAAGATATTTTTCTTCCTTCTGCTGATAGTTGAAATGCACCATATCAGTCTTACCTGTACCAGTCATAAAGCTCAATGGTGATGGACAAATCGTCCAGGGAAATGAGGTTGTTGTCCCAGAAAGGAATCTCGACCATCTGTCTAACCAGCTCATCCAGCTGGCCCTGCAGCTTTTGGATGATAGAGAGGTAGTCTGCATGCTGAGCATACTGGATCTCAAGCTGCTGCAGACTGTTGTCCACCGTCTGGTTCAACGACGATGTACTATCATACACCTAGAGTAAACACATGGGCATGCAGGCCATTATTCAGGGAAGCTTTACTGCAACGTTGTAATGAAACAAGGGAGACTCCGAGTAGAAGAGTGTTGAATTATTGGACACATCCATATGACTGTGTTTGCGGTCTCACCAGCTTTTGAACTCCAGTGATTGTGCGATTGGCGTGGCGGAGGGAATACGTCAGCCGGTTCACTCCATCACAAGTCTCACCATTCCCATAGAAACCGACAGCTATGCCAGCACTGACGGGAAACAAAAAGGAAAAGAGAAGACAGGCTAGTGAGGAGGAGGGATTGGGTAAAAGAACGGAGACACAGAGAGGAGACTAAGAGGAACCCAGGAGCGGGGGACAGCCTGGCAGGGCGGGAGGCGTGTGAACTCCGTTTTAACCCCGTCGATTCGGGCCCCTGTCAACGGACTCCTTTCAGCCTTAGCAGAAAGACCCTATAGAGAACCATGGAAACACAGAGGAATGGACCAGCAATGGCCCAGAACCCCACGCTGCAGCCGACAAAGGCAGCACTGAGGCAGCAGATTAGCTCTGATAGGCTGACAGGCCTCAAAGAGCTCAGGCAGCTACAGGGGCAACAATTTCTGAAGGTACAGGAACAGAAAAGGACCCATTTAGTTTAGACACATTTGTTGGTGGCTTAATTTTGAGTTAGATTAATAAACACCCTCATTAAAAAACATGCATGCTTCACATTTTCTACATTTCGATTATGCTATGACTCTAGGGAGTTTCTGAAAACAGATTCAGATTGGATTTTACTTAAAAGCAACAGAGTAAAGGAGGTTGAATAAAATGAATGTCAAACTTTGGGTTTTAACCCCTAAAATTGCAAGAATATGGCTCCGTTTTCCTTTACTTATGTACTAATGTTTGCTGGTCTTCCCAAAACACCCAGGTTGTTCATGCAGGATGTTAACATTTTAAATGGATTGGAACACTTCTTAAGGTGAAACTCACCCCAAAATATTGGATTGTTGGACTGCCATTTTTAAGCAAGTTTGTTTTTTAATTTTATGTGAGATTTTTAGATCTGCAATAGTTGTCTTTCTCAGTTCTGCTTTAAGTGTTTGGCAATAATTACTGCGGTTCAGCTTTCCTTTGGGTTTCAACGGTACGTGTCGGCCCAAACTTTTATTATTATAGCCCTGTTTGGGTTTAAACACAACTCACTCAGATACAGGCGATTGTAACGAGTCATCCTTTCCTCCACTGACTCTGCAGCTCCGGTTGTTGGCATCGCTAAGTCAATGCCTTGAAGCAAGCACCCAAAACTGATAAAACTTTGGTCCAATGGGATCCACCAACCCTCAATCCTCCTCACCACCCTCAATGTGATGAGGAGAGTGAAAAAGATCAGCCAGTGGCATTGGTACCAGCACCACTCTGCTCAATATTCACCAGAGATCGACTGAAAGAGTTTTCTTTTTTAAGGCCAATACCGATTTTTTTGACATCATTCCAACTTAACGCCGAAATGTTGTGGATGTTTTTAGGCTGATTCTAAAAGCCGATATTGCTTCCTTTCTTCTTCCATTTACATGGTAAAACAGAATTACAGCTAATTTCACACAGGTCTGAATTTCACCAAAAATAAAACATTTAACCAATAATAGAAAACACTAATAAATAGCAGATGAAGGGAGCGGCAAAGCCTGTGCTTCACTTGATCTTAAAGCATGGCTGCTGAATAAACTAATGAATCATTAAACATTATCACATATGGGCAAAATATTAAATGTGCCATTATCAGTCAGTAATATCGCCCGGTCGATGTATTGGTGTATCTCTACTCTCCATGCTAAACTACACCAGGTTAGGCCGCTAGGCTAAGCCAGCTGCCACTTTCACTTTACCTAATCATACCCCCACTGCTCATCTTAGTGGCTTTTTTTCAAAATCTGTCTGATGGTGGGGTTATGTTTACACATGGGGTGAGTAACACTTTTAGAAGAAAAGAGAAAAGGGTATTAGTTGTAACTGTGCTTTCTAGAAATCCCCGTTACCCCTCTTTGATTTTCTTTCTCACTTAGTTTATAAGCCGCACCAAAGGCCTGGGTCAATGGTCTCATTTTGGGTGGAAGGAAGAAAGGTTTTGGAGGGGATGGTTGCAGAAAACCTCCAAAAAATTATTTTGCACCACCACCACCCTGAACTTTTATAATCCTTTTAAATAAGACAACTAAATTTTCTCAATGCATCTTGCACCGCATTGAACTTTTTCGTATTATTGCCTGTTTGCACCATTATTTAAACCGTTTTCTTTTTTCTCCTACATTGTGTACATTCTGACCACTGCTGCAATGTTTATCTTACTCCACCTGCAATCTAATTACACTGTAATCTCAATCTGTATGCAATAAAATTTCGTTTTGTATCAACTGTGCATACGAAAAAAAAAAAAAAAACTAAGTATATGCAAGTCTAAAACATAAATACTACTTTCCACCCACTGGAGAAAACAGCAACTGATACAAATAGTTTTGCAAAGCATAAAAGTTTTCTCCCACATTTTGCCGGAACAAAAAAACAGCAAAAAAACTAAGTAAATGACCTACTGTTATATAAACCTAGAGGAAACATTTCTTTATTTGAAAAAAAGAGCAAAAATCAAAACAATCATTTCAAGCACAAACTAAACAGATCTCTTCAACTTCCTTTTTTTTCCTTCCTACTTTGGCCGAAACATTTGTGCGTGGGTAAACGTGCGCAGGGATGTAGCGATTGTGATGCAGTTCTTGTTCTCATCGGTTCCCTGAGCTCTTTGTGCTGCTCTGAATCAACTGTGATGCTCTCTGGAGGCCCATCAACAGGAGGAGCAAAACAGGAAACCAACGCCGTGTTCAAGGACAGAAAACACGACCAGATGGGAAATTTTCACACCTCTCTACATGACATATAAATACTGCTAAAGCAGAAAATATGAAGGTAGTCATATATAAAGCAAGTTTACTGCACACAAATGATATCCATACAACCTCTTGTAATGCAATAAAGAAAGCCAATTATACTGGCAGCTTGAATCCTTGCCTAAATCGTCACCAGAATAGTTGTGCGTTTCCACTCACCTGCACACAAGGGTGGCAATGATGACGCACCAGGCTGTGCAGCAGCAGTCGGCGTTGGGCTGATCGGCGTTTTTACTCCGCCGGCAGCAGAGGCAAATGGAGTAGATGAGCAGAAAAATGAGGTCCAGAGCCAGACAGGCAAGCGCCACACCCCCCACCAACAAGATGGACTGAAGAACAGAGGGGCAGAGTCATAAGAACTTGTTTTTGAGTCAAAAAAATAAATCTGACGATGTTTAACATAAGTTACAGTCACATTACAATAGTTTTTTCTTTACTTTCTTTAAACAAAATAAAAATGTATACCTGAGGAAAACACTGGGAGTGTTTTACCCCTAAAAGCTGCCTTTAATTAAATTCTTAGCACATATACACTGTAAAATAAAACAACTAAACCTTTGTTTTCCCCGACAGAAAAATGATTTAAAACTTGAAAAACCTTGTGTTGAATATAGGAGCAATAATTTAAGTCATCTCAGAAAACCAAGGTAGTTGTAATCTTTCCCTTTATCAAGTAAATTGCAAGTATATATCTCTTAAAGCTGTTAGTTATTTTAAAAAAGTTAAAAGTTTAGCTAGTTTTCATATTTTTCTTGTAAAAATTAGAGGAAACCTAATTCTCAAGTTTTCTTTTAGAGAATTAATGTTCAATTTTAACAGCACAAATTGTTGCTAAGAGATTCTGCCATTTTTAAATAACATTGTATGCTCTGTACAACCAAGATAAAACCTTAATTAATTGTTATTTGAGTTTAAAGTTAACCTCTGGTAAATTACCACTAATCAGGAATTGCAACTGCCATGGATTGGCCTAAAGGTTAGCGAGGAGAGCGTTAACCATAGGGGTCAAAGGGTTCTCACTTACAGTAGACTGTTACCGTTAATAAAAGTAGTAGGTGTTAGGTAAATAAATAATAATAATAAATAATAAATTGAACATTATTGATCTCACATTGGAGAAATTTATCTCTACATTTAACCCCTCCCCTTGGGGAGCAGTAGGCTGCCATTGTGCGGCACCCAGGGTTAAGGGTCTTGCTCAGGGACCCAGAGTGGCAGTCTGGGGGAGTGGGGATCAAACTCCCAATCTCAGGAATCAACGCCCTATGCCCTAACCACTAGGCCGCCACTTCCCCTAACATGTTGATTACAAATTTCCCCATTCAGTTGTTAAAAAATTAAAAAGTAGGATTTTTAAGTAAGAAGATTTTCAGTTTAATTGTTGCCTTTTCTAAGGGACCACTACTTTCACACACGTTGGAAGAAAAAACCCAAATTGCAGTACGAAAGAATTCAATGGTTGGTAAACTTATAAGCAAAACTTAAATGATTAAGTTAATGTCCAAAACTTAAAGATCTGCTGAAGGTTGTTTCTTTAACATCAAGTTCAGCCAACTGTAATTCTTTTACCGTGCACTGTCTGACATCTGTTTAAAAGCTTTCTTCACTCCTCAACTCAGAGCTCTGTCAGAAGTAAACAACCTGTTTTCAGTAAACAAACAGCCTCTTACTGGGATCAAGATTTAAGCCTTATTTTGGTCTCTGCCACTCCAGGACTTTCCATTTCTAAGTTTTATCCCAGTCCTTGATGACTTTACCATCTGTTATTTTTTTGGGGGGGTTGACGACATGTTGCACAGTCGAGTTCTGCCTCTGGTTTATTAATAAAGAGACGGTCTCATAGACACCTGCTTAAACACAGGGGAACTGGGATGGATGCTATGATTTTCAGCTTGTCTGGTCCTGCTGAAGGAAGCAATACCTAAACAGCAACGCTTCTATATTTGATAGTAGATGTCAAGTTCTGCTTAAGTGTAAAAATAATCGCATTTTAGTCCCATTTGTTCTAAGAGCATCAGGTTTCCCTCTATGCACACCTTCCATTAAAGCTAAACCTGTGTAGAGTCTTTTCAGTTTTAGGAATGTGAGCATATATGTCAACAGAACAAGAGCCTGCTGTAGGTCCTGTGATTACATTTTAGGACTTAAGCAGCTTGCAGTATTCTTTCAGAAAAAAACTCATTAGAGACCTCAGCAGTTATTCTGCATTTCCTAAACTTTTGAACTATTTTCCATAGAATGGAACAAGGCAATTTCAAACTCTTACACAACCTCTTTAAATCCACATAAACCGCTGCATTGGTTTGTTCTAAAGTCTATATTCAGCTTGTTTGATCTCACTACTGCTTTATCTCACACTTTATAAGGATTTGACAGAGCTGGCTCCCTTCAAAACGCAGAGTAACAATGTTTGAATCACACAGATCTGATGTGATATGCCTTTTTCCGATTTTAGTCATCTAAACTGGGAATAATTGTGGGGGTGTGGGGTGAAAAATCCACAGGCTGTTCTGTTCATTTTAGCTAGAAAGCTAACACTTAATCACACATCAAATGTGAAATGATGACAGAATGTCCTGGGAAAAAAAAAACATTGAAGGCCAATGTAAAATGAATAAAACAAACAACCAAAACAGAACAAGAACATGGTTTTAACGAACAGCTCCAGTACTCAAAGGACTCTGAGTATTTCCACGCTTACAGTGGAGTGATGTACAGTGATAGTTCAACCTCTCAGCCAATGCAAACCCTTCATACAGTATGTAGGTCAGGCAGAAGGTTTCTGTGTTCCCTACAGACTCCTGAGGATAAATATCTGAGGCAGATTTCCAAAAGGTAGCGTTCCTCTACCCTGCTCCATTTTTATCCCTTCAATGACTCACTCTAAATAAAACATCACTCAAATGATCATTCGTTTCTAGAAGCAATTTTATTCTAGCTTTAAGGAAAATAAAGAAGCAGAGCCTACAAAGAGCGGTGACATCGCTCCATTTATCTACTGTGACACACACTTCTTGGCTCTTGCTCTGTGGAGCTCAGTGAGGAGCAGAAAACGACTGAACAAATGCACATGATTTGGGTGCATCTCTGACACACAGAAGTCACATAAAGTTGCATCATTAAGATGCATTTGCATAGTAAGCAACGGTGACAGCTCGGCCATCTGGACGAGTTGAAACCTCCTCTTAAGCCTGTGGGGGAAGAGCTGCATCAACAATAATTACCAGGATGTCATCAAGGAGGTTGGACAATAGCAGCTGGTAGGATGAGCCTGTGGTGGCATATTTTACACACTTGTCATGATAAATAAATATGATGACAGATAATTAACATATAGTGGCTAAATGAACAGTCTACAAGGACATCCTCGTGTCCCGTTCCTGTCTGTTCATGCCATGATGCAAACTAACCTATCATTCATCCAATAACCTGCCAGAGAGCCGATCTGCTACAAAAATAAAAGAACTGAATCACTTTGTCCATTAAATCCGGAAGGAAACGAACAAGAGCTGGCAGCAAACATTAGACGCCCACATGAACTGAAGGAGGATGAAGTAAGAAAATAAACCACAGCAAGCCTGTAGTGGAACTTTATTTTCCAACCCACATACCCTTACAAGATGAAACACATCTCCATAAACCCACAGACGCATGTCTGGGAAATATCTTCCCATTTCTCAGGAATCATGAGTTGCTTCTCCATTTTCTGAATCACACCTACCCATGCTCAACTGACCCAAGAAAATGGCCCAGAATCCATAAAGAGAGAACAGAACAACAAAAAAAACACAATCACAAACCAAAAGAAGGGATCTTTAAAAAAAAAGTGAAACATAACTTGGATACATAAGATTTCTATTTAAACCAAAATTGTTTCCAAATATCTCCAATTAAAAAGGCATTTGTCTTTGGACTGAGACAAATGGAAACTTTAGGACTTCCTGGAAACAATTCACTTAAATCAGCAAAAGCAGCTGCTTCCAAAGAATTTAAGAAATACTAAACTTCTGCTTAACACATCATCGCGATTAGTATGATTTGCTTTGAACTTGTGAACAAATCCATCTCTCCCTTCCCTAAATCTTAGCTGACTAACAAGCTGAGTAGACTCTTCTTAGATCATTGCCACTGGTTAAAACGGCCATGTGTTCCTTTTCTCTATTCCCTATTCCAGATTTTATCCTTCCAAATCTAGGGTGAAAAACGATGCAATAAACTGGTTTTACTTAGATAGAAAACTTTTAATCAATTTGACTGTATGATCTGGTGAACTGTAAAGTGCCTTGAGATGACATGTGTTGTGAATCAGCTATATAAATAAACTGAACTGAAGACATCACATTGTAAACTCAATGCACTATTCAGCAAAATGTTTTTTAGGCACTCCATTGCACACAAAACAGAGCAAACCGGCTTGTGTCTGAAAAAGGTTAAGGCCTTGATAGTAGAGGTTCACACAGATGGTGACATGGATCACAAGGTAAATAGAGCAAACAGGTGGAAGCCTGTCACAATAAACCATCAATCTTTAATTCCAGGTTCCAGACCTGATTGGAAAGTTATACATAGAAAAAAAAATCCTTTATTTTATAGCTAAAAATTAGATGTCACAACATTGTTTACATGTGTGTGAAGAGGGATGCTACCTGCTGATATGTCCAGTCTTCTGGTTGGAAATCACTGCTTGTTTGCTGAAACTTTAGGTTGAAGTGGGGAAGTCTGTGCAGCACATTTACCCACCAAGGTGGAGAGTAGCTGACTACAGCTGCCATGGCGACGAAAAGTCAGGAGATTCAATCAAAAGTATATATATAAAAAAAATATGTCTTCAGCTGTAAACAATAAAACGAATCCACTTCATTCAGAGAGAGTCCATCATGAAGAGCAAAAACGTTAGAGGTATGCCATAAAAGTGTTACAACTAAAGCTTGCTTTGTTTTAGCTGCTTAAAAAAATCACTTCATTCGAGAGACAGCTGAACAAGCACCGACACGAAGAGCTAACTTTAACTAGTAACTAGCCGACTAATAACCACTCTAAACTACCTATTTGGCTGTTGTTAGTAATGAACTCTTAAGACGCATCCTGTTGTAACGTTGGAAGTAAACTCCAAAAGCCCGAGGTCCATTTAATCGTGCTTTTTAAAACAAAAACAAAGGGCTATTTAAAGCTCTTTAAGAGAGCTATATAGGTTAGCTAGCTTTTAGCTGCTAGTTAGTTGAATACACTGATACACGGAAGAGAAGAAGAAGTCCTTTTTTGTTCCATTTGGCGTTCTGGTCTGCGCGTGTTTTCATCCAGATTTGTTGCTTCCTCAGTCTCTTTGTGATTCTTTCGCAGACTTATTCCAAGGCAGAAATCTCTCAGACTCACTTCTCAGCCCAGCTAATACTGAGCGCAGACGACTTGAGCCAACACTGCGACTGTTCACGACAGTCCCTCAGCTGGCAGTTCAGCCCAACCCCGGCTACAACACAGCATGCACACACGCCCTATCGATGTAAAAGGGATCCTGCAGCGACACCTACAGGCGAGCTGGCATTAAAGCCATGAGCGATTCATGGAATGTTGGGAATATCACAACTAAATAAATTTACCTTTTCTATTTTAATGTGAAATATTCTTTAAAAATTCTCACTTTTAAGATTCAAATTAAAACATTAAATTGAGGCCCATATAAATAACCATACATTTATTAGAAATACTGTATTCTATTTTTTATTTATTTATTATTTTTTTTACAGTGTCCTTTCTAATAATTGTCTGGATGCCAAGAAACGGCCCAACAGATTTCCCTTTCACAAGTGGAGCAGTACGGCTATCACCATAGTTTTCCGGTTGATTTATGCATATAAATAGCTTTATTGTGATTATGCAGGGAGTATTACAGATTATATGGACACTGCAATGTAGGTAGAACAGGAAAGGAATAACAGAAAAAAAGAGAAAATATGTAAGAAAGAAGAGACAATGATAAAACGTCTTCAGTCTGCTTCATCACCTGCAAGGAGAGATGTAAAAAGAACGGCATAACCAACGGATATAGTATAGGAGATACCATAAAGTAGCACCTTGATACTATCACAGAAGTATACGTAGTATTATTTAATCTGACATGTATACTGTGGTAGGAGAAGATAAGAATATGAGCTTTCTGTATGGAAGTGAACCAAGCACCTGTAGTTGTTTGTGAGAGTGCACTTGTGCATGTAAAGTTTATCCAAAGGAAAAATGCTCAATAGTGGTTGTGAAGAGCCAAAGACCCGCCCACCCCCAGAGCGCCAAGGCGAGCACCGGGGGACCAAAACCCCAGATGCCCAAAGGACCCCCAAAGCAAAGGCGCCCAGGAGGGACCAACCCAGGAAGTCCAGCAATGCTGCAATGTATTCTGTTTTTAATAAATTTGTGATACATTTAAATTTTCACTTGATACATTATTGATTTATTGTATTGTGGCACTCACCACACTCCATAGTAATTAGGTAATTTTTTTTGTAGGAAAATGCAGACTAATTCATTTGATGTTTCCTAAATGATAAAACTATAAACTTTTTTATATAGTACATGCAAAGAAATGTTTTGCACTCAAACCCTTTCTTAAAACCTTTCATCTAATGTAGGTTTTAAAATAAATAAATAAATAAATGCTACTGACGTCTACAAGGTGTACCTGAAGGCAACATTTTTTATTCACTCATAGTTTTGAAGAATGAGGAACAAAGATCAAACCAAACAAACCTGCGGTGGTGGGGACAGGAGAGAATTGGTTACAAATAAAACCACTATTGTTTTATATAGAGTTAAATCCTGTGTTGCTATTTCTTAACTTAAAGGAAAAGGGTGCCAAGATAGTTTCATTGTTAAGGGATTTTCCGGAGATTGCCCTTGACTAAACCATTCAATGACTTATGCAAATGATAGAGGAAAGATGTTCAGTCGCTGTGAGGGAAGCATGTACAACGAGGCTATAACATTCTGGTTTTGTGTCAAGCTATGCAGGAAGGGGAAAAAAAGTCCAGTGGTTTGTTTTTAACTTATTTTTTGGAAAGCAGAAAAGGAACCACTTCAAAAAGGTCTGGTGAAGCTGCCTTTGCTTTTGGAAAATGGATCACCTAACAAAAATAACCTGAACAAGATCACAAGTTATTTTTCATGTTAGCAGTGATGCATTTTTTTTTGTTTTGCAGCATGTTGTCACAAAGCAGAAATAATGGCTCCAAAATACAAATATTTAAATTTGAGGTCATTGCACAGGAAATTACCTAGGTTGTTCGGATTGCAGTCTTGTTAATAGATTCTTGATGTATTTCTGAAAGAACTCCTCTAGGTGTGACTTAAAGATCATTTAATTTTGAATCTGAGAAAAAACACTAAAGCTTTAAAGTTTGTAAAAAGCAAAATGTCTATTAAAACGTGACTACAAAAATATCATAAATATTTGCGACCGCTTTTATGTATTTTTAGGATGTTGCTGATCTGCACAATTAACTTCTTACCTCTGACTTCAGGTTTACTAATTCTAATCTGCTGTATTGTAGAAAAATATAAGTGAGGACGATCAGCCGGAGTCTGTGAAGGTGACATTTGAATCTCTTTGTAATTATTTCAGGTAAATGTCTAAAAACACTAATGTCTATTTTCTTTCCACATCTGTGGCAACAGACCAGTAACAGATGTTTTTTTTCTTCTCCCAGTAACAAGGATCCCAGCGGCCTTCTGCTGCTGCCCCCCAAAGGAGCTCCTTCAGACTTTGACATCAGGCCCATACTGTTAGTCATGGAGACGCTGCTGCTTGTTGCCTCTGAGAGGTGATCTTTCACTCTTTTTATTTTTTTTCTGTTCTCAATCTGCTGGAGCCTTGAATCAAACTTTTCCCATCAAACTTTCTGCCCATCTATCAGTTTGAGGTTCTGATGGTGGATAGGAGGACTGGAGCCAACGGGACAGTGCCGCTGTCCTTGTTCTTGGTGCTGCAGGGCAGCTTGCTCTCCTGGTGCTACCTGCAGTTCAACAGTGGAATCTCCACAGCTGCTGAGCCAAAAATGTGAGCCACAATAAAATCTAATCTCTTATCTTTTTCTCTTGTTAAAGCCACAGACTTCAATTTTTTTGTGTGGATTTTATGTGATGGTCTGAAGTAAGAAGTACTGAGAAAATACATAACAGATCATTTGTCTATTCAAAGGGACAACACTTTGTTTGACTGCTTGATCCTTAAAGGCGTAGGGAAGTCATATTTAAATTTCAAATCCTTCTGGCTTAAATATGCATATAAATGCTCTCTTTATCAGACGACATTGTCCCAAAAGGTAGAAAATTTCTACAAAAAAAAAATCCTGTCTTAAAATCTGTGGGTTTTTTTTTCATTATCTTATGCAGACCAGTTAGTTATATGTCAGCCTGAACACCTATATTTGGCCAATCATATATCAAAGGTCAACTGTCAATCAAATTTTCCGGTAATTGCATCTTGATTCATATGTCGCAGCTAATATACGCAACGGTTGTAATAAGAAATACGAATCCTTTCCTTTCCCATTGAGTTCCGTCCCAGTGTTCACGGGGATGGACGTCTGTGTCTTCGGCAGGCGTAGAGCTAACAGAAGTGGCAGCATTGCGAGGCAAGGACTCAGACATGTACGGCTGTAAGCCTTCTACACCAAACCAAGTTTCTGCCGCCCTGGCGTCCTCTTCCACAACAACTTCGTCCCCGCTTTCCTCCTCTAAATAAAAAATGTATGACGGAGGAGATTCATCCATGACCTACATCACAAAACTCTCCTCCTTCTGCATGTTTCCGCTGTCCATAGCGTTCCTTGACAGTCCAGTCTTAACATGATGACTTGATGAGATGAATGGAGTCCGGTGTGCTTTTGCTTGGTTAAAGGGAAAAAATGTAACCACACGGTCCTTTCTGGAACCAGTTTGAGACCCCTGCTGTTGGGCAAAGAGAAGGAACAACAGAATGATGGACAGTGTAACATGTCCAACATTCTTTCTCATACATATTTGTTTGTCCAACACTACATGTTTGTCCAAAAGTACCTGTTACAGTCTGTTGCAGTATTATGCAATGAAAATCAGAGTCTAAAGCAATGTTGTTTCTTTAGATGACTAAAGAACTGATGGAAGCCTTTCCTGGTATTCCAGATATGGATTTTCAGTCAACCAAGAAGGCAAGAAGGCAATGAAACAAGAAAGAAAAGCTCTGGTTCTTCAAATCCTTGAAGCATCAGGTGCATAATATATATATATATATATATATATATATATATATATATATATATATATCATTAGTTCCTATTGAAGAGATATCAATTATTTTTGTAATAAATTTTGCTTTTAAAATATAAAAAGGCTTTAAATGGAATAAAAATGAGTGCGCCTCATCAGACTAATGTAGTAGAACAATTTCACATAGATTTTGAGTCAGTGGGTCACATGACCTGGAATCTATTGAAGAAATATCAATTATGTTTTATAATAAAAAAATCTTAAAAATGAACAAAGGCCTAAATTGGAATAAAAATGAGTGTCCCCCATCTGGATAATGAAATAGAACAATTTGACATAGATTTAGAGTCAGTGGGTCACATGACCTGGAAGCTATTGAAGAAATATAAATTATTTTTGTAATAAAAATAAAAAAATATAAAAAGGCTTGAAATGGAATAAAAGCAAGTGTGCCTTACATATGTTATCTATTGGCATGATTTTATATTAGTTTCATCTTACCTGGTCATAAGATGAAGAATGAATTCATTTTTGTTTCTCATAGAGTGCTTGGTTTGCTGACGGTCCCTAAATGCACCACCGGGTGTGGGAGGAGGGAGCAGCTGAGAGAGGCTGGCCGACATCGGAGTGCCTCATCTGGATCACCGTTTGCTAGACCCCGCTGACTGCGCGGAGCTTGAACATCCAACTTCAGACCAACTTCACAGCGGTGTGACAACAGGCTTCACTTTACAGGAGTTGGACTTCAACCAGGGTTCACTACAACTTTAAGAAGCAAATGACTTGTTTTTCCTTCTGTGCAGGAAATCACATGGATGTGCTCCAGTGCTCACATGACATCCAGAGCCATGGCAGGAGAGATCAATGAAGGTAAACTGAGAAATCTTGATTTATCGCTTACTTTTCCTCAGGTTGTTTGTGTCAAAACTTTTCTACACACTTTCGCTTAGACCTAGACATTTTTGAGTGATCGGAAACAAAACGATTAGTCCAAAAAACTCTGCTTTATGTTTTACAAAAATTCTTTCCCCCCCTTTTTTGATAAATGATCTATCTAAAAGAACAGCACAAGTTGTAGTTTAAAGTATTTCTGTTTTCTTCTTACTTGTAAAATCTTGTCAGATGTTCCTTGCATGACTTACTTCAAATGCCACATATGCATTCATTTTGTTCATGTGTTTAAATATCTGTAAAGCAGTGGCGGTTCTAGACTTAAT